ATACTCCCAATCGTCCAAGAAAGAGGACCGAGGTGATTTGGACAAGTTATTCGTCGTCTACGTCACGAGCCCAGTGTTACGGTCCTTTACACAATTGGAGGCGTCAGAGATAGGGGTCAGCTCAAAATCTGGCTCGACACAGCTCATCCGGACACAGAAGTTGTTTTTGGACCTTTGGTATTCGGTCTTCGTTGTTGGCTAAGAAAAAGGACTGAAATGTTCAAGCCAACTGCTGCCGATCGTCACGCATGGGATGGCGCAATCAGTGACATCGAGGCCGGCTACCTCAAGCTTGATTGCAGCCGTATCAAGTACGCATAAGGGTAGCTATTCAGCTATTGGAAGCCAATGTCGGTCCAGAATAAATGTCACCGGAGTCGTCGAGTAAGTATTATGACCGTCCATGGGAGGACCATGACCATGCTTGATCTAGCCGACATCGATTAACACTTTGACTGCGACGTGCGCCATATGTGGTACATTCAATGATGTCCCAAACTGCGACGTGCGCCATATATGGTACACTTCTAGGCCTAAAGTAATGCAGGTTTGAAAACGCCGCCCCAGAGGCATACAGGCTATTTTGAGAGTCGCAGTCAAAGTTTTAAGACGCAAATTGTACATAGCCAGGAGTTATGATCTACGGCAGCGGATCTACAGAACTCAAAACATTCTCTCACCCAGCGACCAAATACATAAGGCCCAATAAACACTTCTACATTTTGGCCAACCGTGTCGAACAAGGTTATGCGCTGACCTCCTCTTTGACGCCTCCAGGTGGTCAGCGACACCGAACTGAGGGTGGCAGCATTGAACTCAGAACGCAGACTACCTCGGTCGTCTCTCTTAGATGATCTAGTATATCCTTGCGATGTCGTAGCAAGTACACACTACCATTACGTGAAACCAAATTGGTGTACTTCACTCGAAGGACCGCTCCCAGACAGCGATGGTCAAACATCTCCAGTTTTCGCTCAGCTTCGACACAGCCCAGCAGTCTTAGTAGTTCAGACAGTAGTTCAGTCCATAAACACTTTCTAGCAGTATGGCGCACCGCCTATAATGACTCAGCCATAACGCCCCCACAATTACCTTGCGCGGACGACATTCTTAGAGACGCCTAACCTAGTGACATACGAAAGTAGACTTTATAGAGCTTCAAATCGAGAGCTGCTCGGTCTGCACACAGAAGGGCCAATTACCGCCCCAAAATCCCCAACGAGACGTAAATACACGTGCCACGAAATGTTAGTCCCAAGTTAGTCGAGACGGTTAAAATGGCAGGAACCGAAGGTCACAACCGCATTAAGAACATCTGATTACAGAACTAGAGGACGAAATTGGTGTTCGGACACCTGAGCGCGATCCCTCGAGACCCTGTTGACTAACGAAGAATAAAACAAAAGAGCATGCAGCAACTTCCTGTGTAGGACAGCAGCGAAAGATTCGGAGAACCAAAATGGGAGGTAGCAGATGTAGAAGAATTCAATATGTACATAAACGTCGCTTCTGATTCTCCTGATCTCTTTACAAAACGGGGGATGGAGGTAAATTAGGAGACAGCAACGGTGAGAGCGGGGGTGTTTGGGGGGGGGGAAGGGGGATGAAAATATTCGCGCGAAAGTAAATGCTATAGTCAATAGTTTGTGGAAATGGCAAAGCAATGCCGTTTGGGAGTGAGAATGTGGTCTGAGTCCATAGCCAAGGTGCCGGAGGAGGGGGCGGACGCATGATCCATGCAGGCGTTGTGGCGTTTGCGAGGTGAAGAGAGAGTCAGTGTGAAGTCACATTCATCCAGTGGCTCAAACCGGTGAGCTGTCTCGAAGTTGGTGAACATTTCGGAGGGATAATCGAAATCTAGAGAGAGAGAAAAAGGCTGAATGCCTTGAATGCGAAAAACACGATCGGTGTAACAAACACGACAACTAGGACTGCTCAATCCCCGATGCAAACTCTACTCCCTCGTTTCGGAAGGATCCCATATGGTCTACAGAACCGACTTAAGGGAAGATTTAAAAACCCGTGCTTGCGTTGAACGAAATTGCGAGGTTCGATGCAAAATGGTTCTTTAATGCGTAGGTTCACGATTACTTTTCTCTTGCCTGTAGGGCCCCGTAAGCATTCACAATTTGTCGGCGAATCTGCAGCCGAATAAATTGAAATAAAGGCAACAACAAATTTTTGTACTGCTTTATTAGGGGTAAGTTAAAACAGTAGTCTTTAAAGCATCGAGTTATTCTAGCTTCTCCATTAAACATATCGAATATAACGCGACAGTGAGGAACTACCGGCTGGCCGAGAGGAGGGTGGAACTCGTTGAATAAACCTACCGCGAGCAAACTCGTCGGTAAAACCAGCATTTGCCAAATCGTTTGGGCGAGGCAACGCCAAAAATATCGAGGCAAAGTTTTAAACCAACGAGAAACGGCAGTCTGAAGCAGAAGAAAATCGCCAACATTAGCAGGCGCGGGCAAAGTTTTAAACCAGCGAGAAACGGCAGTCTGAAGCAGAAGAAAATCGCCAACATTAGCAGGCGCGGTCCAGGATTTTGTCCGATCCTTTTTTAAAAGAGGCTTAAGTTGCAGGAATGGGATTGAATAGCCCAATTAGACTTATGACAGTCCACGAATAAACTAAGTGAAAATGGTGAAACAAAAAGCCGAAAAGTGGCGTAATAAACATAATTCATCCCAAAGCAAGATTCGGAGAGTCGAAGTGCTGCTGACAATTTTAGTGGTGGTTGTGATTGTGTCCGACAAAGAGCGGTGATAAACCAAACCTCTGGATTGTGTAGCCGAAGTAGCGTATGAGATGTCCGGTGCGCAGACAGGCATATTCTGTAGCTTCTAGTTTCTGACTCAAGGCTTACTGACAACTTTCGCCATGAAAGATTGACCGCTCGAACGACTGAAACGTATGACACTATGGTTACTTAAGCCTAAACCTACAATCTTAAAATCCACAGGGCGATCGTAACCGTGAGGTCAACGGCCGCGTGAAAGGTTTTAAACTGTGAGTATCTCACACACCGCTTGGGGACTTAATTTAGTTTTGATTAGTAGAACGAAACTAAACTGGGAAGTAAGATAGAATTGCAATTTCTGGCGTATTTTTCATCCACAGACGGGAGTTGACGCACCCGTGGTTTGAGGCCGGATACAGCAAGCGCTTACAAGTCTGCAAGCAATCAGTCATTGGTAAGTGTCGTTTCAACTGAATCTACTCACGGTAATCAATGTCTGCTTCGGGTGAGATAACAGCCCGTATTGGACGCTGTCAACGGTCGCTACGTGGTCCACGCTCCTCCGTAGGGTGTCAGAATAGTTTAAAAGGATATGGAGGACGTCCCAAATCCAGGTCTAACCACCAGGAACAAGGTCTTTTTCATGGATGGATAGGTGTGGCATGAACTAAGTCTCGCATCCGGCTTCGACAAAAGCCATGGTAATCGTGTCAGGGCGGGCTTTCAATCCGGCAGATATTGAGGGCGATTCTGTTGATAAGTTGGACGAAGTGTCTTGGTTGGAGGTGACAATTCCCTTGTTTATTAGCACATTTTCATCCAAGGTAGCTTTGAAGTATGCGACCGCCCACACCTAGTGTTGTGAAACCTAATATTCTCCATTCCAGCGTGTCTGTTATCAGAATTGGGGCATAAATGCGACTGTCCTTTGGAAGTGGTTTAGAAGATTCTTCAGAATCAATAACGTGATCCGATTTGGAGACATCCTACTTTCCTACAGGACCACATTGGTAATCGGAACCATTCTGTTCAAGCGCTATCTCCTGTAATTAGCAAGCGTGGAAAATTTATGTCGCAAACCCTTACACTTACTTTCACTAAACCTATTACGTTTGGGTCAGCGAACAAACCAGTAAGAAACAGAAAGCATTCTAAGAATGACGTAAAGTAGCATCTCTGATACGAAGAACTCACCTTTTTCGAGGTCGGTAGAAAAGGATGAGACAATTTGGGGGTTCGGGTCCTCCTCGGAAAAAATTAGGGGAAGTGGCACTGGAAAGACTGGTTCTGTCGAAAGAGTCT